TGGGATCGAGCCCCGCATCGGGCTCCCTGCTCGGCGGAGAGCCTGCTTCTCCCTCTCCTTCTGTCTGCCGCTCTGCCTACTTGTGCTCTCTCTCTCTCTCTCTCTCTGTCAAAGACACAAATAAAATCTTAAAAAAAAAAAAATAAGGGTACTGGTCACCCTGGAGGAGATAGTGATTGGAAGGGGTCAAGGGTCAAGGGGGGCGTCTGCAGTGAGTAAGATCCCCTTTCTTGATCTGGGTGCTGGTTATACAAGTGTGTTCAGTTTGTGAACATAACTGAACTGCATGCTTATGATACCTGACTTTCTTGTATGTATGTTACATGTTGATAATAATTACTTTTTTAACTCCAAAGTAGAACAGCCTACAATTAAAAATAAATCTGGGTGCCTGGCTGCCTCAGTTGGTGGAGCATGTGACCCCTGATCTTGAACCCAAGATCTCGGGGTCGTGGGTTCAAGCCCCACATTGGGGGTAGAAATTACTTTTAAATTTTTAAATTTTTTTATTTTTATTTTTTTTAAAAGATGTTATTTAGGGGTGCCTGGGTGGCTCAGTCGTTAAGCGTCTGCCTTCGGCTCAGGTCATGATCCCAGGGTCCTGGGATCGAGCCCCGCATCGGGCTCCCTGCTCTGCTGGGGGCCTGCTTCTCCCTCTCCCCCTCCCCCTGCTTGTGTTCTCTCTCTCGCTGTGTCTCTCTCTGTCAAATAAATAAATAAAATCTTAAAAAAAAAAGAACCCTCAACAGGATTTCACCTAAAAATTACACGTGGGGGGCGCCTGGGTGGCTCAGTCGTTGGGCGTCTGCCTTCGGCTCAGGTCATGATCCCAGGGTCCTGGGATCGAGCCCCGCATCGGGCTCCCTGCTCGGCGGGGGGCCTGCTTCTCCCTCTCCCACTCCCCCTGCTTGTGTTCTCTCTCTCGCTGTGTCTCTCTCTGTCAAATAAATAAAATCTAAAAAAAAAAAGATGCCAGTTGGCGCAAGTGCCGATTTCTGGTTGGAATGGTGACAGCATGTTGGAGCCAAGTGCTGACATGCTTTGGTTCAAGGGATGGAAAGTCACCTGTAAAAAGGCAATGGCCAGTGGAACCATTGCTGCTTGAAGCTCCGGATTGCATCCTGTCACCAGCCTGTCCAGCTGACAAGCCCTTGCATCTGCCCCCCTCAGGACATCTACAAAACTGGTGGTATTGGCACTGTCCCTGAGGGCCACATGGACTTTGGTGTTTTCAAACCTGGCATGGTGGTCCCCTTTGCTCCAGTCAATGCTACAACGGAAGTAAGTATAACTGCAAAACAATAAACTGTTGAAATGCACCATGGAGTTCTGGGTGGAGCTCTTCTTGGGGACAATGTGGCCTTCAATGTCAAGAAGGTGTCTGTCGGGGGTGCCTGGGTGGCTCAGTCAGTTAAGCGTCCGACTCTTGATTGCAGTTCAGGTCATGATCTCAGGGCCATGAGATCGAGGCCTGTGTTAGGCTCTGTGCTGGGCTTGGAGCCCGCCTAAGATTCTCTCTCCCCCTCCCTCTGCCCCTTCCCCCTCTGCCCCCTGCTTGCACTCTCTCCCAAAAAAAAAAAAAAAAAGGTGTCTGCCAAAGATGTTCATCGTGGCAATGTGGCTGGCGACAGCAAAAATGACCCACCGGTGGAAGCCACTGGCTTCATGGCTCAGGTGATTATCCTGAACCATCCAGGCCAAATCAGTGCTGGGTAGTCATGCGGCTCGCACTGCTCACATGCTCGCAGAGCTGAGGGAGATGGATGGTCTTTCTTGGGAAAACTGGAAGGTGGCCCCAAAGTCTTGAAATCTAGTGATGCTGCTATCACTGATATGGTTCCTGGCAAGGCCGTGTGTACTGAGAACTTCTCTGACTATTCTTGTCCAGGCCGTTTTGCTGTTCATGACCTGAGACCGGTGGTTGTTGTGAGTGTCATCAAAGCAGTGGATGGGAAGGCTGGACCTGGCAAGGTCACAGGTCTGCCCAAAGGGCCCAGAAGGCTAAATGGATCTTATCCCCCAATACCTGTCACTCCAGTCTTAATTGGTGGTGGAAGAATGGTCTCAGAACTCTTTGTCTCAATTGTCCATTTCAGTTTAATAGTAAAAGACTAGTTAATGATAATGATGCATCATAAAACCTTCAGAAGGAAAGGAGAATGTTTTGTGGACCATTTGGGGTGTGTGTGTGTGTGTGTGTGTGTGTGTGGCAGTTTTAAGTTACTAGTCTTTATAATCAGTAATTTTGGGGGGCTGCCTGGGTGGCTCAGTTGGTTAAGCATCTGCCTTCAGCTTAGGTCATGATCCCAGGGTCCTGGGATGGAGCCCCAGTCGGGCTCCCTGCTCAGCGGGGAGTCTGCTTCTCCCTCTCCCTCTGACCTGCCCCCTGCCTG